CGCATCCCCCCTCCCCCCCTTCAAAAAAAAAAAAAAAAAGCAAATGCACCTCCATTTCCCCCTACAGCTAGATAACCACAAAATATCCAAAAGCATCAGAAAGCCATACAAGTTGGAAAACAATCACTAGCATACCCTTTGGAATATGGCCTTTCTTCCTTTACCTGTGTGATACTGGCTATGATACTTGTAAAGTTTCACAAGTACTGGGGAAGGTATCACAAGAAAGTCTCTCAAGGATGGATTGACAGAATGAACCACAACAGGGAACCTCTCACACAAACGACCTAGACCCTAAAAAAAAAAGAAAAAACCCACAACAAAAAAACATAGCTTTAGAATATCACAGCACAATTTCTATTTCAACTGCAAGCTTGTAACTTCAGCTCAATACAAAAAAACCCAAACCATAACAAACCAGATATATAGTTCTGAGAGATTCAATTTCTAGCGGAAGATTTAGACATTTCAAGCCTCTAATTCTTTTAGGTTATCCTAGAGTGCGTCATGCCAGTCAAGCCTTGCTGCTCTCTTCCTGTGTGATTTCACAGGAGTTACATGAAATGAACTGCACTCTCTAAAAATAAAGTTACTGGGTAAGTTCCAACATTTAGAGAATCCTGATAATTTACTATTTACTATGTGGTGGAAAACACCACATTTGTAAGACTATGAATAAGTGCCCAGTAAGAATACAGAAAAATCAGAATAACCAAGTCTCAGTCTTAAAACTCAGTGATCTGCCAGTCTCAATATTTTAGCTGTTTATGTAATGGACTAAACAGATAAATATTTCACAAATGAAATACTGGTTAAAAAAACCTCTTAAGTATCATTCTTCAAGAAGTAGTTGAGCTAAGAAAATTCTGAAAGCACTACTCTACTCAGTTCTAGTTTCCACACCAGACCTCTCAAATCCAAAGATAGAACACATTGATGCAAAGTAATACAAATAGCAGATAAAAAGTGTTATTCTAGCAACCTGTAAGACTCCCCAAACTCTCACTAACTGATGTAGTAACGTCAAATACTGTAAAGACAGACCTGCAAACAGCAAATTAGCAGTGGCAAGTGAGCAATGATGACTTTGCTTGAGGTTTTCGACTGCAGCTTCTCTGATAACTTGATGCATAGGTTTTCTGCACCTTAAGCAAAAAATCCAACAGAAAAATTTATGCATATCAGATTTGTTATTGGGCCACACACAACCCAATACTTACTGGAATTTTTAAAACAACACAGAAAATTTATCAGCTTCACTCTCCTCATACTACAATTCCTCAAAGAGATTTAGGGCTGCTTCTGCAAAAACAGTTTTGGAAACTTAGTATCTGCACCAAACAACTCTGTCAAACACCATGACTGAAAGAATGACAGTACTTAAAGTTGATTTTGAGCATACTTCACATTTGACGGAAATTAAGTATTGCAAGGTCCAAAGGAAAAAATCCTTCACATATTCAGAGGATGTGTAAGAATTATACAACAAGAAAAATATTGAGAAAAAGTGAGAAAGTGCTTGCCAGTCCTGTTAGCAATGAAGAAAAACATTTTCTTTAGAAGACTGAAAAACACTTAAGACACTAAGAGCAATAACTAAACCCAGAAAATAAACTCGAAAATAAGCAGCTGCATGTAATGCAGCAATTATACCATCTCTTGTAGATAAGCCAATAGGATGTTTCTGTTTCCATTTCTATGAAGAGATGTCTAACTACTTAGGTAACTAATTTGACAACTTTCTGATGGAAGTTTTACTGTTGTATTCTAATAGCAAAAAGTATTCCACTGAAATTTATTTTATATTTTTCTGAGCACCATCTACTCTCAGAGACCTTGTAAGTATTTCTACGACTTAAAAAAAAAACAACCACAAGCAGATATTCCAGGGACCAAAGAGTATTTTCTACCTTGCTCATCTTTCACAGCCCACACCATGAGATCCACACAGGCAGCATTAGCCTGACAACGCAGTTTTAAAGGACTCAGTTCGTTGTGCAATCGATCCACATCATGAAGGATTTTCTGAAGTTCTGATTGACTGCTGTTGAATTGCTCTAGCACAAAATCATGTATTTCCTTCACAAATGAGTTGGGAAGGTCTAAAGAAATAAAAGGAAGTAGCATTACACTAGAAGGATGGGAGTCAGTGTATCAGAATGATGTCATATATAAAATCCATTGCTACGTTATAAATGAAATTATTTCATAAAGTTTTATCCCCTACCTAAAAGATAAATTTCATAGCAAAGTCCACCAGTAAGCAGACAATTGAAATGCCATCTATTAATCCTTTTAGTGGTGCTCAAAATATTTTTTTCTATTCCCATAGCACCCTTTTTATATGGAACCATTTCAAAATACAAATTTTAGAGCATACATGGAGTTCACAGGAAATGCAAACCCTCATGTTCAAACACTCAATACAATACAGACAACACTCTGGATCCTAAACATAATGAAGGATAAATTAAAAAAAATTACAAATACTATACCTTTCATATAGTATAATGTGTCTCTGAGCATTTTAAATTGAGCAAGATAAAGAGGATCACTGAATGTTTTATAATAGAGATCTGTATTAGCACCCGTCTGAAAGAGAAAAGAAGCAATGTGCTAGATTCCAAACTATTTCCCACGTACAGGTAAATAAATTTTCTTGTTCCAGTCACATAATTGTTTTCCTCCATAACGTAAACAAGCATTTAAAACAGGTACCAAAAGTAACCTCACAGCCTTCCCCCCTGCTTTTATCAAAAGGAAAAGTACAGCTATTCCATGCATTAAGAAAGATTCAGTCACTCTTTCAATTTGGAGATCACGTATATGTTCTCTCTAACAGTGTTGTTAAAAAAAAAAAAAAAGAAAAGGAAAAAAAAAGAGGAGGATTCAAACCTATCCTTTTACTGTGACAGCAAAAAGAGAAACCGAAGCTGTCTCCACTTAGGCCTACATTTCAAATACAGAAGTACTTGAAGAAAGGCTGGAGAGAACAGCAAAGTAATTTTCCCACACAATTGAACACATAGTCTTTTCAACACAGCTTTATGTTCCTGAGGAGATGAGGCTAACCCCATAAAACGTGGTGGAGGCTGTTACAGAACTGCACCCAGGGACGGGGAGAACAAGGACTCACAGACCTACAGAAACAAGTATGCTACCTCTGAAAGTAAAGGTCCACAAACTGTAACACTATTAAACTTGTAGAAATGACACCTAAAAGAACAGCAGTCATTTCCAAGCTAGAAAAAGAAAGCAACCAACACATTTTGTCTACAAGAAAAAGACAATGTTACTGTAATATGCAATAAAGACCTTAGTCTACAGTAAACCAGTTTTGGGCAACCAATGATGTAATTTAGTACGGTAACAGAGCTAAAGTAAGAAAATGGTTCATTTTTTAAGAGAATAACTATTTCCTTCTAAGTCAGTGAAAAATATTCCCTGCTCACACCCCCCCCCCCACTTCTTTTTTTTTTTTTTTTACACAGTCCAAGGCTAGATTTAAACCGCTGAAAGAACAGTTCAAACAGGAAATTGCTATCGTTTTGCAAAGAGAAGGCACACCTTAACGTAAGTAAAAGACTAATTTTCCAAGTATTAAGACAAAAAATAAAGTATTCAAGTCATTAGAAAAGGAATTTAAAAACATACCTCTGCAACTTCAGCTACAACTGCATCTAAGGTCTTTAGCAGAGAACCCCCAACAATCTGTTTTACCTACGGAGGGAAAAAAAAACCAAAAACAACCAAAAAAAGGATGTTTCCTGTTGATGGCTCTAGATAGGAGACAATACAGTTTTGCCCATGCACAGAAAACACAAGTCACTTGACTGCAAAGTGTCATGAAATTAAGGCTACAAGAGTTTCTGGCTGCAACAAGGATAATTATATTTTTTAGCCTCTGTGCGCTGTTCCAAAACAGCTGGTGCAGGAAACAGACCGTGCCAGTAGTTTCTGTCACTAGTGTGAATTCCCAGCAACTAAACACTTCTAGAAAAGGGTCTCATTCTCACAGCAAATCCCAATCTTCTATTTCAGCAACTAGCAGTACATAAGTTACCTCAGATCAAGTGGTCTGCACGACTCAAACAGGAAGAAGTTAACATAAACTTACTTGATTTTCCAAATTCTTCATGGTTCATATGAGAGCTATTGAAGCATGATGTTAAACGCCATAAAAATAACATTACACAAAGCTTGAGAGACAAAACTGTCTTTTTATTTGCAATTCTAAAAGCTTAAACTTAAACTATATCTATTTCTAGCACAAATATCTAGAATGCAATCTCACTGCAGCCTTCATAAGAACCCATCACATACCATGTTCAACAGCTGACGGAGCATTTCCAGTGGGATGTTAAACTCTTTATTGTTAATGCCATTGAAGAGAGGCGAAACTGAAAAGCTGGAGCTGATTGTAGAGAAGTAATAATCAGGATCCAGTGCACTCCCATCAGGAAGATATGAACCTGATCAGGAAAAAAATAATAGAAATAAAAGTTTTGGGAGAGAGGATATAGAAACTTTGTTTAATGGTGATGTTTAGTCACTACTAAAGAGTTATTTCCAACACAGGTACAGTCTTTAACTTGCAAGCTATCAAGAGGCACATTTCAGCTAATCTGCTGGTAAATCAAGACAGAAAACTATGATGAAAAAATACATTTGTTCATTAGAAGTTTACAAGAAGAATTAATTTCCATGACTTGAGTCCATGTCAGAGACACTGCTGACAAAAAGTCTTCCCATACTACTGATGTACATTTACCTGAAAACATTTGTAAAAGCCGTTTTGTTCAAAAGCATAGAGGTGCAAAGAACAGGTTAAGTCAAAACTATCTTACAAGGTCCCTATATTAGATCAAATGAACATGTGGCACAGCCTTCATCTTAGAAGAGGCACCTATTCACTACTGCAATTTGAAGGCAAAAGAGAAATCAAATTATTTTCCAGATTCAAGTACTCTATTAAGCAAACAACTTGCTAAGCATACTGCTTTTGGCACTGTTTCCACTTCAGAAATTACATCTCCGCCTTCTTAAACTACTCGGCTGTCTGTGCTAAAGTAACATTCTTGCAATTAATAGGCTTTTAAGCAACACTATTTATTGACAACAACAATAAAAAATGTTTTCAGTCCTTCCTTCGAATCCTTGGCCAGAATAAAAGCAAGGTCATTACTCAACTTCTTCGGAAAGTAAGACTATCACAAACTATATTATTGGAAACAATACAAGGGCTACCTGTATCTGAAATATCTGGTAGAAGTTAGTATTGAAAATAAAATCCTGATTAGAATAATCATAACTCTGCTAGAGACAAAATTAAAATTATTCTGAAATTTTTACAAAGTTGTCCATTATCCACCTACAGCAAATTAAGATTATGTTTGTTCTACTACTATAGTCTCTCTAACCTGCAGCTTTTTTTTTTTAATTGAAAACATGAAGACCATAAAATTGAAGAAGTATAGGTTGGTTCAACAGGGTAGAGAGAAGACAAACAGGTCTCTTCCTATTTGGCAATTTAAGAATGATATTTGAATTACCCTGCAATCCCATGATATGATTGAGGAAGACAACTGCCTCTACAAATAGTAACGTGAAGGAAAAAGAAAAGTAATGTGGAAGAAACTAATTTAAACCAGGACTTGAGAGGAGAATGACCCAGAAACAGAGAATGCCCAAACTGTTAAAAACCCCAAAGGACCAGACAAAGCCAGAGACACCAAAACACCTCAGATGCAGAGCTAATCCTCCACTTGATTTATGAAAGACAGTTTATTTTTATGCCCTGCTTTGACATAGAACTCACAGCTAGAGCTCTACTAAAACTCATGAAAATTTTTCACATTTGTGCCTTTTATGATACAATAATTAATACACATTAGCAAGCACTTGACTTCAGTGTCTCCTTTATTATTTCTCACTTCAGCAAATTACTTGGTCTTACACAATGACCCATACTGTGTTTGCTTCAAATGGAGCAGTTGTTTTAGGTTTATATAACGTGCCACAAAGGTCTCAAAATTCCAGACCCTAGTCCAAAAATTTAGTCGTCTAGTGATGCACAGTATTAACACTTGTTTCTCAAAGTTACTCAGCCTAATCTCCTGAAATATTTTTGGCCTAGTTGAATTAAGCTCTTCAGTACAAGGCACAGCCTAGCAGTAAGGAAATCATGTCTTTCTCAGAAGCCTGCCAGAAACAACTGAGCCTGGAAGCCACTGGTGTTAGTAACAACTTCCTACTGTCTTTACACCCCCAAATTTTTCAGAATTCTAGCAGGCATGTGCCAGGAAATTACTGTAAGAATTCTAGAGGGCAGAGAAAGGGGTCAAAATTATTTTGGTTTTCAATTTTCTATAAATAGCAACAAACCCCCCAAAATCACACACTGTTTCTTTGCAAAATAAGTTACCTTCAAAGTAATGAATTGCAGATCCTCCAGGAGAGCTGGGAGGGGGAATTCCACGTTCAGGACTAACCTGAAACATCAACAAAAGCCATAATTTGAAAACAATTTATAAAACATTGAAAAAGCTTCCAGAGAATGGTTCATACACTTTATAATGAAACAGCTTCAAGCAAAACTAACAGGAACTACATATTGCTGGGCCTAATGGCTCAATTCCAACCAAAAAAGGGAAGTTAAAAAAAGCTAGTTCAGTGCTAAAGGGAAGAGATCAGCACTAAAGGGAAGAGATCAGCACTAAAGGGAAGAGATCAGCACTAAAGGGAAGAGATCAGCACTAAAGGGAAGAGATCAGAACGATGACTCCTGTACTGTATGAAACTATGCTAACAACAACCTGCAGTTTCAAAACCATCATCTGAATCCATTCTTCCCCTAAGACAACGAACATCCACAGCTCCTAGTGAAACCAGTGAAAATTCATGTATCCTCAGCACTTCTGAAAACTTTAGCCATTAAGTGCCAGCGTCCCAAATTTGCAGATACACATGACAATGCTTTTTCATGAGAATAACACAAAGAATAGGAATTGCCAGTCGTTCCATGTGAAGACTCATTAGTACAGTTGTTAGTTTAACTGTCACTGATTATTCTGTAGCTCAGAAACTACAAAATTATTTTGAAACTCAGCTGCAGAACCAAAATAAAGATCTCTGTATCAGGTCAAATAATGTGTTAAGAGACTGTGTGCATATCCAGGCTTAATGCAGTCTTAACTCCACCAAGACCACGAAATCATCTAAGCACTGACTCTAACACAGAGCAAGTCATACAAACCTGTGAGATGCTAGATACGCTGCTAGCCTTTCTCTTTAGTGTTCCTTCCTGGCAAACAGTGAGTAGAGAACTGGGAAGAATTGATCTGAAATCATTAAAGGATCGTCGGCGAATTCCTTCAAGCTCTTCTGGAACCCTTAGGGAATGCGGGGGAATTTTTGGAAAAAGCTTTGAAAGGAGAGCCTCCTCTGAATTGCTGTAGCGACCAAAGGCTCGAGAAATTCCTATCAGGCAGGGTACTGCATACTTGCATAAATATTCTGGAAAAGGCAAACACATATAACAGTAACTTAGAACTTCCTCTTCATCGTTTTGCTACCACTTTACTAAACTGTTTCAGCCTAATGTGTTTTGCAAAGACTTATTTGTGCAAGTAGAGGAAAAACCATGAAGGTATCGCAAATTAACACACTTCTCTTGCTTCCATATTTACCAGTCAGCAATAAACAGAATAAATATGTGCTAAGAGAAGTCAAAAGAAAAAGCTGCTCACTTTTCAGGAGTGATCCTGATAATTGGAAAACACAAGAGAAGTTCAGAGCACAGGAGTTACCACTATAGCAACAATATAAAGAGTTATTTTAGCAGTACCTTTATCATGCATTTGCGGGGTCTGGCACATTCCCAACAGGAACTGCATTACTTGTAGAATTGCATCTAAAATCTAAAGTAATAAAGACACATATAAAAACCACACCTTTTGGTAAAGACATATTGTTATCTTATACTAGATCACTACAACACAAATGAAACTTGCAAATATTACCATAAGCACCTCTGTAAATAAGATTTTGTTAATGCTATATGACTAAAAATGTATATCGCGCTCACTCAGCTTGCAGAGCTTCTTTTGTGAAGTCTGCAGTTAGCTGGTATGCACCAGCAGAATAAAATTGCCGCAGCCCTAATTTCAGTATCAAAACCTGAATTCTAAAACTCTGGGCTCAGCAAGTAACATCCTTTGACACCTGGAGGTTAACAGCAGACTTACAAATACCTTCTAGGTACCTGACTTAATTAACACAAGAAAAACAACGCAACAGTACACATGTTAAAGCAAACAATCCCTTTGCAAGAAAGCAAGCAGCTGTGGTGTAACCCTTCTCTAGACATTTGTCAGTACTGCAGCATTGGAGAACTGGGTACCACATCAGCACAGACTTAAAATGAACTCTACCTGCTCTCGGAGAGATGCATCCCTGTAAGCAACGTCTGATAACAAAGTCACCAAGCAGAAGCTGAAGTTTTCCGCAACTGGAAGCAAACCTGCTAAGTAACAGACAGAAAATAAGCCACTTAGGCATTGTTAGAGAGAATCGACATAGAAAGAGCAAATAGTAATAAAGCAAGAAGACATAAGTGATTCCCATATCATACAGTTCTGAGATACACTGTTGAAAAATATAGTATTACATACAAAATTTAGAAGTACACTCTAATCATCCTAATTTCAGCATGAAATGTTAAAAGAACAATTTTAATAATTAAAACTTTTCCAGGCTTTCAAGTAATTGAAAAAAAAAATTATAATGCCCCTTGTGAAAAAGTATTCTTATATTAAAAGATATTAAGGGAGCAAGAAATGCAGTAGTTTAAATAGCAACTAAGCATCAAAGCTAGAAGTAGAGGGTACCTATCTTGGGTTCCACTCTCCTGCTCCAACTACTACACAATCTTCTCCAATTTAGTAACAAAATATATTGAGCATGGAATTATTTGGAAAGAGCAATTTATCACAAAGCAGTCAAGCAAGAAAGCTATGAGCTATTCAACTTCCTATTTGCTTCTAAAGGAAACCAATATTAAAGGCTGTTGAGTCGGGAGCTAAGAACCTAGCAGAACCTATCACCTCCCTTTGTATCATGTCCTGAATAACCTATGCTATGTCTATTTCCTGGCTGGCATTCCATGACAATGATCAAAAAAAACCAAACATCACCTCTGCCTTTCCGTGCATTGCTTTCTTCTATCCACTGGACTTTGGGAAGACCCTTCAGAAGTCGGAGGAGGTAAGGAACCACATTATCTTTGTGCTAAAGAGGAAAATACTCTATTTAAAATGGACAAGAAAAGCTGAACCATACCATCTCAAGATATTTTAGAGATATGGAAAGACAACATTAACCACACACAGAACTCGCTTCTAATGATTACTGCACAGGCTTCTTGAATATTGCAAAATTGATTTCAACACAGGCAAATGAAAGTAAACCAATTTAGTGCTATAAATCCAATCCTTTCATTCTAGGCAACAGTTCATTCTCTGTAAAAGTTGGAGAAAAAAGTTCCAGGAAAGTAATTAACCCCAAACAATTTATTAGTTTACAGCAAGGTCACAAAATAATTTTAAGGCAGCTAGAAATTCAGAGTGCCAGTCCCAATTCAGTACATGTAATCCATCCCACGGCCCTATGCAAGTCACTTAACACATCTGTGCAACACTTCAGCTTCCTAATCTGCAAACCAAAGGATAGCACTTCGAGTTGGATTAATTAACGCTAACTGCTGGCTTTGAAAACATCATAACAATGCTACCAAATATGAATACAGCTCCCTTATTTAAACTTCATACTACAAAAAACACAAAAAGAACAACATTAATAATATGCATGCAAGCTGTATCATAGTAAATAGATACTAAATAGGAGGAAATTCAGGCCTAGCAACATAAAATGACTTAAAGTGAGGTCTAATGACTTTGGACCTAGGACTCTGCATATCGTCCCTTTCCTCTGCATGAAACAATACCACGCCCAGAGTTGGAAGGGAAGAGAACCAGCTTGTCACTAACAGGCGGACAGACACAAAAGTGATGTTCGTATACAATGCAGCCTATGTGCACTGTTTGTCTTTTTATCCTGGCTAGTGCCAGGCATGAAAAGGCCTATTACAAACCTGACATTCAAGGAGTGTGGCAGAACATACCTGTCATTTAGAAGCATGCGGGGAAGAACATGCAATTACACATATGATTTGAGCAAATCTTCCCGAATAGCCTTTCCTTTCTCTCCTTAAGCTATGATGACCAAAAAACATGACAGCAGTTTGGCTGTGGCAGTGCCACGATTACTGTCTATCACACTCATACTGTCCTTGTTTCCTTGTGCTCTCCTGCCTGCATCCATCTGTTATCTCTGATCTTTTTTGGATAGTAAATACCAACTTTTCATTCACTGAACAACTACATTTGAATTAATCCAAAATCCTTCAAGTTAAATACAGTTAGCCTAAGTGGGAAAAATACCTGAAGGTCAGATTCAATTAGAAAGATTCCTAGAGCAATAACAGCATCTCTGCGACGTTCATCTAACTGGAAAATCCCATGGAAATCCACTGGACACATACAGAGCAGTTTCTGTACCTGAAAAACAGCAGAGGGAAAGAACAGTGGAACAAGTTTCAAAAGTTTCAAAACAATCCAAGGGAACACCAGTATATGTGTTAAAACTGTCTTTCAGAAATCCACCAGCAGACCTCAGGAAAGCAATGCAAATAGCTCCCAGCTTCTCTTTTATGGAGGAGAGCTAGCAGTCATGTCCATGCCCTAGAGCATGCCGAGGAACAGGCCTGGGTAGCACTAATACAATTGTAAATATTTTCACAGCAGAGAAACGAGCTGACAGGCTGTGGTTTTCAAGACTCGTTCACACCTCAGATGGCCACATTACTCTCCTTTAGTCAGCAATCTTAATGAGAGCATCTAAGGGCTAGGTAAGAGTGATGAATGACAGAAACTACAAAAAGAAAAATCTCAAGTAGATGTCAAACACTTTTACCACAACACGGGTCGATTTAAAAATTTTTTTCAACACTTGATCGAGCTGTTTGTTTGTTTTCACATCCCAAGAGAATTTCTGAAACTTTTCAGAGCATCACATTTACAGACCTCATTCCTGCATCCCTGGTACAACAAAGCCTTCCTTCCACTTATACATTAGGCATTTTGGATGTGCAAGAAATACGCAGCAGGCACATATATCATATTTCATCAATTTTGTTACAGCTGCAGCAAGCCTTCTTCATATACAGCACTGAACAATAAACTGTTACCTACCCGAGTATGACTCTTGCTCAAATCCTTTTAACATAACAGATTAAGTTTGCGGAACTATTACTTTCTCGCTACTTACCTATTACTTCACTCCATACTCAGCAAACACACAACTAAAGAATATATCAAATCTCCCAAATACTTTGTTTTCCTATGGAACTGTTAAGAAAGGGAAAATGCAACAAACGTATTGTCTTTTTATAAATCTCCTTGATGTTAATAAGTATTATCTAAAAAAGACTGTCATAATACAACCCTGTGTTTGAATGAGCTATGTTTAAATGTCAAGTTACTTCCTAAATGGTAACTCTTTAAACACCCCACCTTGAAACTTCTAAACCAAGAAACTATTTCCTTAGAGGATTAGAAGAATTTACTGGATACTCAATGGAATTTAAGATTCTGGTCCTTCAACTGCCAGAATTCATAATTACGAGATCTGTAACACAACACAAATAATCCTCTTGCTCAAGATAAAATACAGCAGAGGAAATACAAACTTTGGAAAATAACTTCTGATGCATGTGTCCCACATCAGGTTAATATTTGCAATAACATGAGTGAATAACTTTAGCTAGATATGAACTGCTAATACCATTTAAGTCTTACTGTAGTCTAAAAAAACAAAACAAAACAAATCCCTGGATATTAGTGAACCAACAGCAAGGCTTAAAAAAAAATATTCACAGTTGGCTGTCAGACCAGCGGTAGATTTGCAGAACAAGAACTAAGAAGCCTGCAACAGCTGGCCAAGAACAAGCACTATAGTTTTCATCAGCACAGAGCACAGAGCTGTGCTTTTCAACAATTTAGTCATCTTTCATTATTGCACGAGGCAATTTAGAAGTTCAACCCCTTCGTGCTCAGAGAAGCCAACTCCTGGAAAACACCAGGCTGCCCATCTCTCCCCCCCAGCAGCAGCACAACACTTGCCCAAGCCAGCTGCTCCCTGCCAGCAGTGGAGACCCACGAGGGGAGCTGCCCAGACGGAGATCCCCCCCGTCCGCTTTTGCATTCAGCGGAGCTTTATCTCAACCAGGCAGATTTTACCTTAGGCTGACTGCGTCGCTTGGATTTAACCAGATATGTGGATTAAAGCAACCAGCCTGTCCTGGTTTCGGCTGGGATAGAGTTAATTTTCTTCCTAGCAGCAGGCATAGTGCTGTCTTTTGGATTTAGTAGGAGAAGAATGTTGATAACACACTGATGTTTTTAGTTGTTGCTAAGTACTGCTTATGCTAGTCAAGGACTTTTCAGCTTCCCATGCTCTGCCAGGTGCACAAGAAACTGGGAGGGGGCACGGCCAGAATAGTTGATCCAAACTGACCAAAGGGCTATTCCATACCATATGGCGTCATGCTCAGTATAGAAACTGGGGGGGGTTGGCCGGGGAGCTGCGACCTCGCTGCTCGGGGACTGGCTGGGTATCGGTCGGTGGGTGGT